TATGCTGTGTGGGGAGTGTGTTGTTTAGACACTTTTATATGCTGTGTGGGGAGTGTGTTGTGAAGACACTTTTATATGCCCTGTGGGTAGTGTGTTGTTTAGACACTTGTATATGATGTGTGGGGAGTGTGTTGTTTAGACACTTGTTTATGCTGTGTGGGGAGTGTGTTGTTTAGACACTTTTATATGCTGTGTGGGGAGTGTGTTGTGAAGACACTTTTATATGCCCTGTGGGTAGTGTGTTGTTTAGACACTTGTATATGATGTGTGGGGAGTGTGTTGTTTAGACACTTGTTTATGCTGTGTGGGGAGTGTGTTGTTTAGACACTTTTATATGCTGTGTGGGGAGTGTGTTGTTTAGACACTTTTACAGTGATTTTTGTTTTGTTCAGTTTTACTGCCAAATACAGGCTATTTTCCCTAGCTAAAAAAAGGTCTTATTTTCCCAAAATGACCAATAAATACAAATGAAGAACGGACAGGCCTAGAGTCATGATATTTGACTGAAAGCTTTGTTGGTAGGAGCCAGACAAAGTTTGAGAACGAAAATGACCTTCACCTACTTTCAAGGTCACAGGGGTCAAATGTGTCAAACACTTCGAACGACTTCTTCTGAAGAACTGAAAGGTATAGAATCTTTATATTTGGCTGATGGATTCCTGGGATGGAACCCAGCAAACTTTAAGAATGAAAATGACCTTGACTTACTTTCAAGGTCACAGGGGCCAAATGTGTCAAACACTACGAACGACTTCTTCTTAAGAACTGAAAGGTATAGAGTCTTTATATTTGGCTGATGGATTACTGGGATGGAACCCAGCAAACTTTAAGAATGAAAATGACCTTGACTTACTTTCAAGGTCACAGGGGTCAAATATGTCAAATGCTTCAAATGACTTGTTCTGAAGAACTGAACGGTATAGCATCTTTATATTTGATTGATGATTTCCTGGGATAGAACCCGGCAAATTTTGAGGATGAAAATGACCTTGACCTACTTTTAAGGTCACATGAGGCAGATATGTCAAACTCTTAAAACAATTTCTTCTGTAGAACTGGACGGTATAGAACCTTAATATTTGGCTGGTTATTTCCTTGCAAGGAGCCCAAAAAAGTTTGCGAATGAAAATGACCTTGACCTACTTTCAAGGTCACAGGAGTCAGATATGTCTAATGCTTAGAACAACTTCTTCTGAAGAACTGGTCTGTATAGAACCTTAATATTTGGCTGGTTATTTCCTTGGAAAGAGCCCAACAAAGTTTGCGAATGACAATGACCTTGACATACTTTCAAGGTCACAGGAGTCAGATATGTCTAGCACTTAGAACAACTTCTTCTGAAGCACTGGACGGTATAGATCCTTAATATTTGGTTGGTTATTTCCTGGGAAAGAGCCAAACAAAGTTTGGGAATGAAAATGACCTTGACCTACTTTCAAGGTCACAGCGTTCAAATATGTCAAACAGTTCAAACTACTTCTTCTGAAGAATCAAAATTCATAAAATTATAATATTTGGCTGGTGACTTCCTGGGATAGTGCTCACCAAAGTTTGTGAATGAAAATGAATTAAACTTACTTTAGAGGTCACAGAGGTCAACAACATTTTAAAGGATTTGTTCTCAAGAACTAAAAGGAATGGATTCATAAGATTTGGCTGGTAGCATTTTGGAATAGAGCTAACCAATTTGAGAAGGAAAATGATATTAACCTACTTACTGTACAAGGTCACAGGGAAAAATATGTCAAGCAACTTCTGAAGAAGAATCAAACTGCATAGAATCTTATTTTGCTGGTTGTTTCAACAGATGGAGCCAACAAAGTTTGTGAGGGAAATATTTTTAGTGCAATATAATATTTAATGAGAATATTTTGCTATGACTGCTTAAATATTGAGGTGAGCAATACAGGCCCTCTTGGGCCTCTTGTCTCAATTCATAAAGGAACAGGCTGTTGTAAAATATAGGTAACAAAGACACTGTTTTATATGTTTCTATGTTGCATGACAGAATGTATTCTCTGTACTTACAGCCGATAGTGCTTGACACTGAGCAGGAGGAGTGGGAGGAAGAGGAGATGTGTATTCGAGTCCTATGTGAACACGAGGAGGTACTACATCACTAGGAATAATAACTCGTCATTTGTTTTCAATAAAATGATTTTAACAACACTTGTAATCTACATCATTCATGAAGTAGTGAAGCCTCTGAGCTAATCCAGTCATCACTAATTTGGTAGTCCCACTATCTAGCCACTGACTAACGAACAGATTGGCTTTTTCAATACAAAATTACCCCCCAAATATATTTAGTCTTAGCCTCACAGAGAAACATCCACTTTTTTAATGTTAAATGACTTGCACACCTCCTACCATGCATGCTGACGTGTTTGCAGGGTTGGCACTTACTAGGAGAACCACTAACACTGAAGACAAGGACGTCTGAGGAAGTGGAGAACTGTCTGGCGGTGGCCGCTCCATACCTGGCCCGTATCTATGCCATCCTACGTCAGAGCTCCATGAGACTCAACTGTCTAAACAGCAAGACTGGAGAGAAGTTTGGAAACTGGCTTGATGACAAGCGAGAGGCAATGGAAAAGGTATTTGTTTTACTTTGCTATATATATGATAGATTTTACATTTGAGTAATAGAAAGGTTTACCTAGTAAAATTGGTAAAATATGATTAAGTTTGAAGTAAGTTTACAGCACACATAGCTCCTATTTTACTATAGTGTTATTGTTTGTAGGAGACCAAGTCAAGCGTGACATTCCTCCAAGGGTACATGACCCTGGTGAAGTTTGTGGCAGATCATGAGGAGGTGGAAACATTCACAGAACAGCTGGACAGGTAAAAATGTTAGCTCATTACAGGTTAAAATGTTAGCTCATTAACAAAGGTATATTACAGTTCCTTGATAATTTGGTTACTGTTCATAAAAAAGCTACCTCTGACCCCATACTGTTCATGGGTAGTTGTTAGTAAAGATGCGTCATAGTTTGTATGTGTAATTGTTTATAATTTACATGTGTCAAAGTTAATAACTTACAGGTGTCATTGTTTATAATTTACTGACGTCATAGTTTTATGGTTAGAGGTGTTTACTTCCCATGAAACTAACATTAATATGTCCCCTTTGACAGGTGTCATTGTTTATAATTTACTGATGTCATAGTTTTATGGTTAGAGGTGTTTACTTCCCATGAAACTAACATTAATATGTCCCCTTTGACAGGTGTCACCTTCCAAGTGGTAAAATATCCTGGCTGTGTAAGACCCACCAGAAAGGAAACCGCATCACCAAACTGGCTTCAGGAGAGGGAAGCAAAGGTGGAGGAGGCAAGAACAGCATGTATAGGGAGGATATACTGTTCAAGGAACTTTTGGACAATGATCCTGAGTACAGAAAGATAGTACAGGAAATGAATATAAAGTATTCTAGGAGTGGTACCATACAGAGAGAGAAAACTATAGACAACACAGGTACTGTATAACAAACAGGTAGTTGTAGGATGTAGATTGTTTTACCCTCAACTTAGTGAGGAGTATAAATAACCACGTTGTCAGTGTATTTAAGTGAGGGGTATAAATAACCACTTTCGCAGTACATTGAGTGAGGGGTATATAGTAACCACTTTGTCAGTGTATTAAGTGAGGGGTATATGATAACCACTTTCGCAGTGCATTGAGTGAGGGGGGTATATAGTAACCACTTTGTCAGTGCATTGAGTGAGGGGTATATGTTAACAGATTTGTCAGTGCATTTAGTGAGGGGGTATATAGTAACCGCTTTGTCAGTGCATTTAGTGAGGGGGGTATATAGTAACCACTCTGTCAGTGCATTTAGTGAGGGGGGGGGGGTATATACTAACCGCTTCATCAGTGCAATTAGTGAGGGGGGTATATAGTAACTGCTTTGTCAGTGCATTTAGTGAGGGGGGTAAATAGTAACCACTTTGTCAGTGCATTTATTGAGGGGGTATATAGTATCGTATCGGTTTTATCAGTGCATTTAGTGATGGTTTATATAGTATCGTATCGGCTTTATCAGTGCATTAAATAATGATTATATTCTGTTTTACCCTGTCACCACATGTTCACAAATGTGAAATGAATGACAAGTAGAGATACAGGCCTATTTGGCCTCTTTTTCACTTATTTTCACAGATTATGATTATGATTCACAAAACAAGGCTTTTTGTACTTCATCAGAATTTTAAAAACCCTTTGTTTCTTCTATTTGTCAATTTCGAAAATTAATTCTAACAAATATTATAGAAAAAAATATTATTTTAGATTTATGTTTCTTCTGATTTGTACAATCAGATAACAACAAGAAGAAAGAAGAGGATAAGAATATCAAGGACAAAGAGAGTAAAGACAAGAAAAGCAAAGATGTCAAGAATGACAGCTCCGACTCATCCTCCAAAAGTATGTCAAAGACAGAAAAGTCTGAGAAGGCTGCTCAAACTTTCAGGGCAGCAAAGGATGTAGTGGTACTAACCAACCAGGCTACAAAGCGTTCTAGTAACGTGTGCTCGCTACAGTGAGTGTGACGCACGCAATGCATGCCAAAGGATAATGTGTATACTGTACGATGTAACACAAACAGCCCCACAAGTAATGTGTGTTCTGTACAATGTAACATTTACAGCCCCACAAGTAATGTGTGTTCTGTACAATGTAACATTTACAGCCCCACAAGTAATGTGTGTTCTGTACAATATAACACATACAGCCCCACAAGTAATGTGTGTTCTGTACAATATAACACATACAGCCCCACAAGTAATGTGTGTTCTGTACAATGTAACACATACAACCCCACAAGTAATGTATGTTCTGTACAATGTAACACATACAGCCTCACAAGTAATGTATGTTCTGTACAATGTAACATATACAGCCCCACAAGTAATGTGTGTTCTGTACAATATAACACATACAGCCCCACAAGTAATGTGTGTTCTGTACAATGTAACACATACAGCCCCACAAGTAATGTATGTTCTGTACAATGTAACACAAACAGCCTCACAAGTAATTGTGTTCTGTACAATGTAACATATACAGCCCCACAAGTAATGTGTGTACTGTACAATGTAACACAAACAGCCTCACAAGTAATGTGTGTTCTGTCCAATGTAACACATCCAGCCCACAAGTAATGTGTTGTAACACAAACAGCCTCACAATTAATTGTGTTCTGTACAATGTAACCCATACAGCCCACAAGTAATGTATGCTACAATGTAACACAAACAGCCCCACAAGTAATTGATGTTCTCTACAATGTAACACAAACAGCCCCACAAGTAATTGATGTTCTCTACAATGTAACACAAACAGCCCCACAAGTAATGTGTGTTCTGTACAATGTAACACATACAGCCCCACAAATAATATGTGTTCTGTACAATGTAACACATACAGCCCACAAGTAATGTATGTTCTGTACAATGTAACACATACAGCCCCAAAAGTAATGTTTGTTCTGTACAATGTAACACATACAGCCCCACAAGTAATGTGTGTTCTGTACAATGTAACACATACAGCCCCACAAGTAATGTGTGTTCTGTACAATGTAACACATACAGCCCCACAAGTAATGTGTGTTCTGTACAATGTAACACATACAGCCCCACAAGTAATGTGTGTTCTGTACAATGTAACACATACAGCCCCACAAGTAATGTGTGTTCTGTACAATGTAACACATACAGCCCCACAAGTAATGTGTGTTCTGTACAATGTAACACATACAGCCCCACAAGTAATGTGTGTTCTGTACAATGTAACACATACAGCCCCACAAGTAATGTGTGTTCTGTACAATGTAACACATACAGCCCCACAAGTAATGTGTGTTCTGTACAATGTAACACATACAGCCCCACAAGTAATGTGTGTTCTGTACAATGTAACACATACAGCCCCACAAGTAATGTGTGTTCTGTACAATGTAACACATACAGCCCCACAAGTAATGTGTGTTCTGTACAATGTAACACATACAGCCCCACAAGTAATGTGTGTTCTGTACAATGTAACACATACAGCCCCACAAGTAATGTGTGTTCTGTACAATGTAACACATACAGCCCCACAAGTAATGTGTGTTCTGTACAATGTAACACATACAGCCCCACAAGTAATGTGTGTTCTGTACAATGTAACACATACAGCCCCACAAGTAATGTGTGTTCTGTACAATGTAACACATACAGCCCCACAAGTAATGTGTGTTCTGTACAATGTAACACATACAGCCCCACAAGTAATGTGTGTTCTGTACAATGTAACACATACAGCCCCACAAGTAATGTGTGTTCTGTACAATGTAACACATACAGCCCCACAAGTAATGTGTGTTCTGTACAATGTAACACATACAGCCCCACAAGTAATGTGTGTTCTGTACAATGTAACACATACAGCCCCACAAGTAATGTGTGTTCTGTACAATGTAACACATACAGCCCCACAAGTAATGTGTGTTCTGTACAATGTAACACATACAGCCCCACAAGTAATGTGTGTTCTGTACAATGTAACACATACAGCCCCACAAGTAATGTGTGTTCTGTACAATGTAACACATACAGCCCCACAAGTAATGTGTGTTCTGTACAATGTAACACATACAGCCCCACAAGTAATGTGTGTTCTGTACAATGTAACACATACAGCCCCACAAGTAATGTGTGTTCTGTACAATGTAACACATACAGCCCCACAAGTAATGTGTGTTCTGTACAATGTAACACATACAGCCCCACAAGTAATGTGTGTTCTGTACAATGTAACACATACAGCCCCACAAGTAATGTGTGTTCTGTACAATGTAACACATACAGCCCCACAAGTAATGTGTGTTCTGTACAATGTAACACATACAGCCCCACAAGTAATGTGTGTTCTGTACAATGTAACACATACAGCCCCACAAGTAATGTGTGTTCTGTACAATGTAACACATACAGCCCCACAAGTAATGTGTGTTCTGTACAATGTAACACATACAGCCCCACAAGTAATGTGTGTTCTGTACAATGTAACACATACAGCCCCACAAGTAATGTGTGTTCTGTACAATGTAACACATACAGCCCCACAAGTAATGTGTGTTCTGTACAATGTAACACATACAGCCCCACAAGTAATGTGTGTTCTGTACAATGTAACACATACAGCCCCACAAGTAATGTGTGTTCTGTACAATGTAACACATACAGCCCCACAAGTAATGTGTGTTCTGTACAATGTAACACATACAGCCCCACAAGTAATGTATGTTCTGTACAATGTAACACATACAGCCCCACAAGTAATGTGTGTTCTGTACAATGTAACACATACAGCCCCACAAGTAATGTGTGTTCTGTACAATGTAACACATACAGCACCACAAGTAATGTGTGTTCTGTACAATGTAACACATACAGCACCACAAGTAATGTGTGTTCTGTAAAATGTAACACAAACAGCCCAACAAGTAATGTGTGTTCTGTACAATGTAACACATACAGCCCCACAAGTAACCACAAGTAATGTGTGTTCTGTACAATGTAACACATACAGCCCCACAAGTAATATATTCTTGCTACAGAGTAAAACACAGTTGCACATGTGAGGTTGTTTGTTGCACTTTGTGACCCATAGAAACCTCACATGCTAGCTACAGTCTTAGTCAAAGACTATAAGCTACAATGTAGTTCAAGGTCAATGGTAACCACGAGATATCTTTAGCAACAGATATGCATGCATGTTTTTTATGTCTTTTGCTTTATGATAACCAACTTGGTAGAGATTTTGTTCTGCAGTTGTCTACTACATGTTCACTTTAATTTATAAAAGTAGAGGAGGATTTTCAACTCTGGATTGAATGGGGATTCCATGAGGGAGGAGTACTTTGTCTGGAACAATCTCTTACATGTCATGACCAGATAAAGGGAACCAAATTGAAAAAATGAGAAACTAAACCATGTGTAAAGTAGACTAACAAACACAACAAGTATAGGTGGTACACACAGATATAACCAAGCGTGTTGTTGTTTACAGATAAAGGAGGAGGGGAGTCCACTGGCCCAGTGTCTCCAAGTTCCAGTGCAACTTCCATTAACACTAGTCGCAAGTTGAAAGCTGCAGGAAATGCGGCCAACCTTACAAAGAGGGCCAGCACTAAGGGTCGGCCAGACAGCAGGGCTTGCTCTATTCAGTGATTTCTGGACCAGTTACATTCATAGACTAACCATTGTATTGGACACGGGCAGATAGTATCTCTCAGAAATACTTGTAAAATAAACTCCTGAACTTTTGCACCTTTTGGAAATAATTGATTTTGTCATGCAATTCACTGTCCCATCAAATAGTATTGTCCGTCATTGTTTTAGTGTTGTCAGGACCTGTGACACAGTTGTACTGTACATGTTATCTGATATTTAGCATCTTTCTCTGTACTTTATACGAATGTCCTATTTTATATCATACACAAGGGCATTTTCCTGTCCCAAGATGACTACGAGCGGCCATGATTTGCTCAACTTTGATTAGTTTACAGTACAAGCACACTTTTTGGCAGCTGCCATTACGTGCTATTATGAGTTTGCTGAAGTTTTTTCTTGTCAAAAATGTAAAGAAAACAAGCACACACAAGTAAAATGGTACATGCTGCTAGCTCAGTTAGAATTTAATAAAGTAACAGAAACCAGATTGACACCCGTGGTTCCCTGATTCTCGCTTAGTTTTGAGTGTTTAATTAACAAGCGTACATTGACCATATGGTTACATATATATGTATTACGTGTATAAATGTATTATAAATGCAGCTAATGTTATAGAAATGATAAACAATTGATGTAATGGATTAAAAACTAGCAAATGATTTATAGATAGATACATGTATACTACATGTATGATATAGCTGATGTATTTTAAATATATTTAAATACAGTGTAGCTTAAATATTATTAATGTTTATAATGTAGCTTATTTATTGTATTGTAGCAAATGATTTATTTATAAATTTCAATTTTGCTCATGTTATTTGCAAGCAATAGAAGTAAGGAAAATGTGCAAATATTTGTATTTGTAGATTTTGAGCACAGATATAAGTGAGGGAAATGTAGTTTTCTGTTATATATGTACATATCAATTTTCCCTGAGATAGTTTTATTTTTATATATATAAAATTGATAATTGGATAACTTCCTCAGTAGATTTTGTTTCTGAGGTAGATTTACTTCTGTGAGACTTATGATATGGACTATTCTCTCCAACAATAATAATGTTTACTGTAAGAGATGTTTTAGTTTCTTAACAGAGGTATAATTCTAATGTTAGAGATGTTTTCTGGGTTTTTTCCTTGTGATTTTTTTTTTGTTTCATTTAAAATTATTTATACAAACAATTTTTTTTTCTGTGATATTTCTTTGAATGTATGCATACAAAGTTGTCTGCTCATGGCTATATGAAATTTAAGATTTATTTTTTTCGTGAATATATATAGCACATTTTCGAACCAATCATGTCTATTTTCATTTTGATGATATGTTATTAAATATATTTACACTATAACATGCAGTTATTATATAATCAATGTACAATTTCATGTCGTACATATGTGTGTAATTTCAATCATATCTTCACTAAATGTATCTTCTACACTTAATGAACCAAGAGAGATATGACCGAGTAGATATTCCCTCATCACTTGTTAGCTCCATCATCAATTACCCACTATAGTAATTGATTAAAAAAAACATTTTTGATATAAAAAAAATAATTAAAGAATGCGTTTCATTTTCGAAGATTAATGTAGGAAGAACTAGTCTTGGTTGACTGAAGGAGGAATATCTGTGCAGGTGAATGTTTGACTCACAGGGTATTTGTTGTAGTTATGTTTTAGTGATCAGACTCTGGATAGTTTTAGTTCCGGGGATGATTAAACATGTGATGTGTTTTAATGGCTAACAGAACGGAGTATAAGAGGCAGATAGTTCTATCTATGACTGTTTTCATTCTCGACACTACTTGCTACAACCAAGTGCCAGAACTTTTATAAATACATGGAGCATTATTGGCCACTTTATTTCTTATTTTTTCTATTTGATAATCACACAGCAATTCTATGTTGTTGTTGTTTTTTTGATATCTTTTTACTTGTTTTATAACGTGTGTGTCTAGTGACAAATTGTTACCTCCCCTTTATTTCCCGTCCACAAACATTATCCCAGCTGATATCTTTGTTGACATGTTTTTTTCTAGTGCAATGTCTACATGTTATGTGTTTCATGTTATAAATGTTTATTATACATGTCTTCTGATTTTTGTGAGTCCCATTTGAATTCATGTCTGTTATTTCTTACAATTCGACCGTCCTGGTGTTGTTTATTAGTACATATGTACTCCATTATATTTATTCTACAAACTAACCTATGATGTGATACAGTAATATCCCACTACAATTATACAGTATTTTGTAATGTTTAATAGTACCTCAAGTCTACTATATATGTTTCTGATATAAAATATTTCGAGCCTTTTTTCTTGCTCTCTCTATTCATAAACATTCCATGTACATTATAAAAATACCCCCATGCCTTGCTCAGGTGTATATTGATTTCAAATGATAAACCCTCACTTATTCAAGTGAAATATGTACATGTATTTATTTTCAATATAGCTACCTATTAAAATGTATCCTTTCAGTTAAGGATTGTTTATACAAACTTCACAAACTGGACATAAAAAATATAACTGAAAAGTTGGATATGTAAGATTTGATCATCAGAATATTCTGACACATGAAAATCTGTATATCCTCTGACTGGCAATGTGTACATGAAAAAGAAGAGTTACAAACAGCTGGTAATTTTATGTTTGTGAATGATGAAGGAATGAGATTTGACTGTATATATTGACATATAAACTTACATTTCAACTAATTCATATTCATTGTTGTATATATTGAGTTTTACTACATGTTTAAATGATCAGTTGTTATGGTTACCTTGGTACTACTAATAATAATACAGCGAGAATGTGCCTTGCTGTCTTGGTTACCTTGGTACCACTATGGTTACCTTGGAACCACCACTAATGATACAGTGACAATGTGCCTCGCTGCCTTGGTTACCATGGTACCACTATGGTTACCTTGGAACCACCAACAATGATACAGTGACAATGTGCCTCATTGTTTTGGTTACCTTGGTACCACTTATAATAATAAAGCAACTATGTGCCTCAAAATCCACCATGTACCAATAGACTAGAACAAATTCCATCTACCTGGAACTAGTTGTTTAGTCTCTATAGAGATGTCTCTATAGATATGTCTCTATAAAAGCAATTCATGAACGTTTATATACATGTACAAATATATTTATTTAGTTTATTTCATGGAAACCAATAATTATTATCAATCTTTGTTACTTATAGATATGTCCATTTCCTGTTATTCTTGACATTAGGACACCAGTCATCAGTTTACCTGCTGGCACGGATTGGAATATAAGCTATACAAATTCACCATTACATTTATGTTGTTGATGAATTATATGAAGCACAATAAAAAAAAATTCTTAAAATGGCATAAAGCATTGATCCTGAATTAAATTGTGCTGGAGGAAACACAAATTAATGTCCACGAATAACAATAAACAACTCATTGTGGGAACGGTAGGATCCACAAAATATCACTCACTATAGAAGGTATTCTCAAGGTGCTCGGATATACTAACTGAACAGCTGTACGAAGAATTACATGTGATTAATACTTACAGTAAAAGGTGATGTTTTATTCTTTTGAGGTGATTAGAAAAGTTGTTTTATATATGTTTACAAGTGTTTTATTTTGTTACTTTTTATTTAAAAAATCATAAGTTTGATAACAATATCACATATTATGTATAAAACTGGTGATATATATTTATATTACATTCCTATGTAGAATTTATCACACGACTAATGAAGCCTCTTTCTATGTGATAGCTAATTTTCATGTACATCTGTTCCTAACTGTTTGCTCAATTTGTGTGTGATATTGACTTTCATACCTCAGTATACATTGTACCTATGTTTATAAAGGGTAATTTGGTTTTAAAACCTAGATGTCTTGTTTACATTTCTACTTTGATAAACGTCCATTTACGAAGGGTATTTTTTTTCAATATCTAAAGAAAAATCCAATATGTACAATTGCTGCATTGTTTAATATCTGCAGAAATATGTATTGTATCCATGTGGAAATATCCATAATTTGTGTTACCTTGGAGATTGATGGATATGTTACTGTTTTATGATAATGGCATTGACAACTGTTTCCTTTGAAGAAACATAACATATACATAATTAGCAATTATCTATTTAATTTTTATAGATATACATTATTTTTATCATTTTACTCTTCTTTCAAAATATATAAAATTACTATTTATCATAATATTTTGAATTTTCAGTTAAAGTGAACTATACATCTCCCTTTTTGTTAAATCTCTTTGTTATAGTAGATAAACTGAAGTATGTTTTGTATAATTTATGTAAATTATAAATATATTAGACACCTCTGTATGCGGTGGAAACATTAGATTCCAGTTTTTTTGTGAAAATATAGCAATGGTCACTAAGATAAATGTGATTATTTTCTAGTTCCTGTACTAGGAGTAAAACCCAGGACCTCTGGATTACAAGTCTAATGCTCTAAAAAGCAGTTAAATAGAAATTCTCTCTAGCCGAAATGGAGAGAAGCTGCTTGTATTCTATCAGGGTGACACTATCATATGGAACTTGTAATGGCTGAGTTTAAATTGCTTCAAATCAGGACACCAATGTTTTATGTGAACGAGAGCCTAGGATATATACTGTTGTTTAGGCCAGGTTGTCCATAGCCGAGCAAGCTGGACATATATTAATGCAAATGTTCCATGTGAGATATTTTGAAAACATTAAAAATTCAAAAAACAATTTACATGTAGAGAAATTCAGAATAAATGTCTTTTTACAAATACTACAAACAAAAAATGTTAATTTTCAAATAATTCTCAAGAACCCAGTACATTTATAATGTGTTATATTGAGTGAACCGGTGTAATACCAGCACATACAGGTTAATGTAAACTTAATACATCTTATACATATATATTATCATTGTCAAGTCTATTTTCTGATTGTATAATTATTTAAGTTAGTTACTGTGATCCCCACCGGCCTGGATCAATCCCCTGATCCAAGATATTGACACAATGTATACACAAGGATTGACTGTAGTTACAATGTGGAATTAGTGCATAGATTATTGAAGTTTAATAAAAACATTCTCTTTCCAAGATGCTTTAGTTATTGCTCATTTTTTGATATTATGACACTGTGACACTGATTTTTCTTTCATGTTAAGTATCTTAATAAAACCGATAGTGGAACATGGTAAGGAAACAAGGAAGATATTCACATTTTGAAGTGAAAATAATTTGAGATCGAATTATTTACACTAATATATTAAACACATTGTTATTTTTAGCTCACTTGGCACGAAGTGCTAGGGTCACGATATTTGGCCAGTAGGTACCTGGGATAGAATGCTATATACTTACACAGTAGGTACGTTATATGTAGTGCTATAAACAACCAAGAGGCCTAGTGTAATTATACTTACCCAGTAGGTACCTGGGATAGAATGCTATAAACAACCAAGAGGCCTAGTGTAATTATACTTACACAGTAGGTACCTGGGATAGAATGCTATAAACAACCAAGAGCCTATCTGTAATTATACTTACCCAGTAGGTACCTGGGATAGAATGCTATAATCAACCAAGAGCCTAGTGTAATTATACTTACACAGTAGGTACATGGGATAGAATGCTATAAACAACCAAGAGGCCTAGTGTAATTATACTTACACAGTAGGTACCTTAGATGTAGTGCTATAAACAACCAAGAG